ACAGGTCTCACGCCCTTACCCGGTCTCCTTTCCTATGGGTCTTCTAACAGGAACTGGAAGTGAGATCATAAATTAATCCCCAATTAGAGAAACAAAAAACATGTTTCCTAATGTATAGTAGAATTTTTGACTGATTAAAAAACACATTTTCTTGATCTGCCATTTAACCCAGTGATCCCACTTCTAGGAATATACCCTAAGAAGCCTGAAACACCCATCAGAAAGAATATACGCACCCCCATGTTCATGGGAGCACTATTTACAATAGCTAAGATCTGGAAACAGCCCAAGTGTCCATCAGTAGACGAATGGATAAAAAGCTGTGGTACATGTATACAATGGAATACTATGCAGCTGTAAGAAAGAAAGATTTCTTATCCTTTGAGATGACATAGAGAGACCTCGAGAGTATATACTAAGTGAAATAAGCCAATCAGAGAAAGACAAATACCACCTGATATCACTTATTTGTGGAATAAATGAACAGGGTGGGCTGATGAATTAAATAGACCCAGAGACATGGAAAGGAGTATGGTTTAGACTGACAAACCTCAGAAGAGGGGGAACCAGGGTGATGGATGAGATGAACCAAAGAACTTATATGCATGTATGCATAACCAATGGACATAGACAGCAATGCTATAGGTTGGGGTGGGGGTGGGGGAACGGGATGGGGAAGGGTGTCTAGGAGGGAAAGGGAGGAAACATCTGTAACAATAAATTTTAAAAATTGAAAAAAAATATAAATTGCTAGTTATAAAAATTGTCATGGGGATGTAAAGTACAGCATAGGGAATATAGTTAAAACACGGTTATAACTATGCATGGTGTCAGATGGGTGATCATAAGTTATAGAAATGTCTAATCACTATGTTGTACACCTCAAATTAATGTAATATTGTGTGTAAACTTTAACTGAAAAACAAATTTTAAAAAATAAAAATGAGCCCTGGCTGGTTTGGCTCAGTGGTTAGAGCATAGGCCTGCGGTCCAGAGAGACCTGGGTTCAGTTCCTGCTAAGGGCACGAACCTCAGTTGCAGTTTGTCCCCGGCCCTGGTTATATATAACCTGCACAAGTACACAAGACTTATAAGCAAAGAGTTAATCTGATTAGTAATATAGACTAACATAAAATAAACTTAAAAAAACCCAGAAAGATAAAAAAGACAGTTAACCCTCATATATTAAATAAAACAGTTTCAGTTAGTTACATTAAATCAAAATAATGTCAAAAATATTTTAGGGCATAGCTATCATATTTACTACTACATTTGTCTACTACTAAATTTGTATTTTAAAAATGTAAAGGGTATATAAGGGCATATTAATATATCAAAAATGAGTAAATAATTTATAAAGCCCTATAGAATATACAACACAAAAAATGAATCCCAATGTAAACTGTGGACTGTAGTTGAAAATAAGGTATCAATATTGCGTCCCCTTTGTAACAAATGTACCACACCAATGCAAGGTATTAATAGTAGAGAAAATTAGGAGGGGAGAGAGGAAGAACATGGGAATACTCTGGATTTTCCACTCAATTGTGCTATAACCCTAAAACAGCTCTTAAAAAAGGAAGTACTGGTACATGCTATGACATGGATGGATTTTGAAAATATTACACTGAGTAAAAAAAAACAGACACAAAAATATCCACATATTTCATGATTCCATTTATATAAAATATTAGAATAGGCAAATTCATTGGGACAGAAAGTAGATTAGCAGTTAGTAGGGGCTGGGGGAAGGGAAAGTGTGTAATGACTGCTTGGTGGGGGTGGCGTTTCCTTTTGGAGTAAGGGAGATATTCTGGAACTAGATAGAGATGACCCTTGTACAATATTGTGAAAGCATAAATATCACTTAACTGTGCGCTTTAAAACAGTTTCGGCGATGAATTTTACCACAATTTCAAATTTTTTAAATAAATAAAATGAATGTGTACATAATTGTGGGAGAATAATGCATAGTTTCAAACAGATTTGTGAGTTTAAACAGAAACTAAATGGTGTGGCCCGAAGGGAACTCCAGATGCTGTGGGTGAATGACCTCAAAGCAGACTCCGCCTCCTGGAGGCGGGGCAGCGCCCTTTGCCGCTGAGCCTCCTCCTCACCGCAGAAGAGGTTAAGACTTTTTCCAAGTCACTCTTTTTCCACATTATTTCTTCTCCCACATGTAACTTCTCTTCTTTAATTTATTATGACTTTAAAATATTTTTACTGTTACATGTATTGCTTGTGTTTATTTATCTTATAATTATTTATTTTAAATATAAAAATAAAATGCACATTTTCATATACATGATACATAATTAAATTTTCTCTTGGACTAGAATTTCTAAAAATTATCTCCACTCCACATTTTCTATTAACTTTTTGAGAGAGCCTGGTATTCCACCTTTCATATGATTTTCTAGATTATACCTTAGTGATGGGTTTTTCTCTGTATACTCAACTGTATTTTCCCTTACTCTTTTTATCATTTTCTCAGCCCTACTTGGATAATTACCTTTTTATAGAAACCAATCAAATACTTGATCATTGCTCGCATGTCCTTCTCTAGGCTAAACTGCATTCTCCTTTGGACTTTCTAAGGCTCGTTGGTCATCAGATTGTAATCGGTGGGCAGGATATCAGAGAACGGGGATAGGTTAGGTCTCCGAAGGGATCAACCACCAGGTCAGATTCGAAGTCAGAGTGAGATTAAAGCACTTTGACCTGGTACCTGATGGTCTCATGAGTCCCATTTGAAGGTAGAAGAAGAAACAAACTGGGGCTTGGAACCTAATTTTGGTTTCCAGAACCCAAGGGAATGATGTCAGGAGAACCTACATTAGGGGCCCAAAATGAAGAGGAGGTAGAGTTTCAGAGAAGAAAACGGGGAAAGTGAAGACAGGGCACCTGGCCGCGCCGTAAAAGAAGAGATGTCCACGGGCATAGTTCAGGGAGGTCTCTGGGGCCATCTTCAGGGAGAGGAGGCTTGGAGAAGAGGTGGTTGCTCATGTCCATGGCCACCCATTGCCCAAACTCATTCTCAGGTGACACAGAGATGACTCCCTCATGACATTGTCTTTGGCGGTCGCTGGGACCCATCCCATCCTGTCCCCAACCTTCACCTCCCACTACCACCTCCCTGACATGAGGCCCTCCTGGCCCGAAGCACGGAGCAGGCCATCAAATCTCTTGGGACGTCTGGTTGCATGGCTGTCCGAGGGTCCCACACTTCTTTCCCTCAGAGAGAATAGTTCTGGGTGAGCTGTACTTGGATCCAGAGTTACATTCACTGTAGAGAAAGAAAATCCATTCTGATGATAAGCAATATTGTGGAAGTACCAAAAATATTAATTTCGTAAAATTAACATCCAAACAGTCAAACAAATATTACAGTGACACAAGAAATCTAAAGTGGAAGGACTCTCTAGGGAACACAAAACAGCCTATCAATACGGGAGAAGTCTTTCATCACCATATCAAGTCACCATAGAGTTAAGATCTCAGTGAAGGGTTCACGCCAGCAGAATCTCGATCGTCTCGGCTCACAGCCTTGAAAGCGAGCTTTGCTTCATCCGGTTTCTCTCCCTCTCCCTTAACTAGAGCACCTGGGAATGTGCACTCGGGGATCCAATGATTGTCTTTTCATCCTTCTGCTTCTATTAGCACTGTAAACGCCGACCTCACTCCGCACCGGTCTCAATCACGTGAAGACAAGGGCTGGACTGGTGTTTCATCAGTCACTGACTGTTTGGAGAGTGACTGCCATGTGCGAGTCCTGAAAAGAGGGTGCCCACTGCCACGTGTGCTCCACGTCGGTTCACCCAACTCACCTGTCCTACCGCTCTTCCTTTTGATCAGGCCTATAGTCACCAGAAGAAGCAATCCCAAAATTAGTAGTATCTTCCATGAAAAAGTCATCCTGGAGTCTAAAATGAAAACCCCAAAATCCCATTAAATCATAAAACTAGGAAAATTTCAAGACGATCCCTGTATCTGAAGAAGTCACGAGAGGAGGGTGCGAACTGGGCTGCACTGCTTCTCCCTGCTCTGCAGGCTGAGAGACTTGGTCTATATTGCTTTATTGTTTGCTCCTCACAGACGCGCGTGCACACACACACACACACACACTCACTCACAGTCACATACATACACACATACACTCAAACACATACACCGACGCATACACACACACTCACAGTCACATACATGCACACTGACACACACACATACACCCACACATACATACACACACATAGTCACATACATACACACACACTCATAGTCACATACATACACACATACACTCACACACATACACACACACACTCACAGTCACATACATGCACACTGACACACACACATACACACACACACATACTCATAGTCACATACATGCACACATACACTCACACACATACACACACACATACACACACTCACAGTCACATACATACACACTGACACACACACATACACCCACACATACATACACACACACAGTCACATACATACACACACATACTCATAGTCACATACATACTCACATACACTCAGACACATACACACACACTCACAGTCACATACATGCACACTGACACCCACACATACACCCACACATACATACACACACACAGTCACATACATACACACACGTACTCATAGTCACATACATACAAACACACACAGTCACAGAAACACACACACTCACTGTCACATACATACACACACTCACATTACATACATACACACCCACTCACCTACACACTCACACATATACACACACTCACACACACATCTGTCCTCCTTCTCTTTTCCTGCTCTATTACCACAAACACTGGAAGAACGAGGGTGGCAAAGGATACAATCGCCCAGTCCACAGTCATGAAGGTGGTGTTAAGACACATTGGTTTCTAATCCAGAAGACAGTCCACCATGAGAAAAACAAAACGTCTGGGTTGATCTTCATATTTACTTCCCAAAGCTGAGAAGATCACACGAAATCACTAACCTGAGAGAGAAAAAGTTGCCGTTTTCTCCTCGCTAAGAAGGGGGTTACTGATGGAGCAGGTCACATTCACAGCAGAGCTGTTGGTGACCACCAGAAGGGCCTCCACCTGGAACAGCCCGCGGCTGTCCTGAGTCAGGACCTGGGAAGATGCCGGCGCGGCCTGTGCTTCCACGTCTCTCCACTGCACGCGTGGCTGTGGGAACCACCCTCCCGACGTGCACCTCAGCCGCATCCCTCCGTCCTTCAGTCCCTCCGCGGTGACCCGCGGGGAAGAGCCCAGAGCTGGGGAAGAGATCAAGACACAGAACGCAGCCTCAGGTGGCCGTACCGGCAGCGCGGTCCCTGCGAGGACGGGAGGCCCGGGCCTGGGCGGGCGGAGCTCCCAGGGGCTGTGCTGCGCTCCGGCAGGACGCTCGCTGCAGCGTTTGCTTTGTTTCGTTGGCTCACTTTTATTTCTATTTTTGTGTTTCTAAAATTATCCTGGGACAGATGAAGGAATGCAATAATTTCAAATCCAATCACTTTTTCTCTATACCTAAAAACAAAATGGTTTTGACCAGGGCATAAATCACATGACCAGGAAGTGGGTAAGTAAGAGAATAGTCTCCAAGATCAAATCATCAATATGTATGTCCAACGGCAGAACATGTGGGAGCCATCCAACTTCTCCACAGGTGCTTCTGTGGATGTCCCCTACACGTGTCAATTAATTTAGACACAAAGTCAGTGGGAGCACCAGGTAGAGTATCCAAGGGGCTGGCCTTTGTCTTCCATGGCATTTGGTAGCCTTGGAAAATCAAGTTTCATTCACAAATATATAGGGTGTCCCAAAAAATATATGCACAATTTTGAAAAATTATTAAGCCAGTGTTTATTAAAGTACATTTCATTTTCAAAATGTAATAGAATCCACACACACACCCATGTACATTTTGGGGACACCTTATAGACAGTGGCAAATTATGAGGCAGGGGACAATGTTGTCTTTCCTCCTCCATCCTGTCAATTCTGTCAGTATTTATTATTTTCTTTCTATGTGGATCTTGTTTAGTCTTCAAATCATTATACTTCCTAGTAACTACACATTTCACAGAATTTTAATAACACTCTGTGAAATAGTGGGTCCTGTGTAAATTAGGGAGAAAATTCTCAAATTTCACTAAATGGGAGGCTCCTTTATGGAGATCCTGGGAAGGGTACAAATTCTGTAGCCAACAAATTAAGTCTGGTCCATTTGAGAATGTGGACATGAAGTATCTACAGCAGTTACTTCACGTCAGAGGATTCAGTATAAATTTGATGAGTGAGTGGGCATTAAGAAAATTTCAGATGCCAGGTAAATATTCCAGAACTACCATGTTAAACCAGTAGGAACCAAACATCTATGTAGAAAACTTACCTACTATCTTCAGATCCAAACTGTTCTCCTGGTAGACACCATCTTTTTCAAAAAGGCACCGGTACTGCCCATCATCTGAAGTCCGGGCATCATGTATCAGCAGGGTCTGTCTCCCCTCATTGATGGCATCCGTCACCAACACTGTCCTCCCTCTGTATTCTGCCATCTGCTCAGCAGACATGTGGTCCCCATCCATATACACATAAACAGCAGGATAACGGTGGGACCGGACCCACCTCACCTCCATGTTCTCTGCATCAGCCTTGGGGAACAGGTAACAGGTTAACTGTATGTCTTCTCCCACTCTGACAAGAAGGGGCTGGGAAGGTCCAATCACTTTTAAGGAAGCTATTAAATACAACAGAAAAAATACAATGAAAGACTCAAAATGAAGCAAAAACTGCCACCAGCAAGAACATCTCAAGTGGGGTTTAGAACCCACCGGCATCCCAGGGGAGTTCAAAGCTAAGGTCATTCTTTGGAGAGGGGGAAGTTTGGTGTAGTCAGGACAGAGCTCGTCCCTGTCTGAAAAAAAATCACTAACAAAACCTTCACCTGCCCCGAACTATAATTTCATTCAGGTTACAGCCCGATAAAGGAATTTTGCAATTAAAACTTCTAGAATAAAAATATTACTTTATAATCTAAATCAGCATGGCCCCTTAATTATTGTGTGCCCCAGTTCCTTAAACTATAAAACAAATATATCCTTATCAAAAGCCTGAAGTTGTTCTGTAGTTAAATAAAATATCCTTATAAAGCTCTCGGATGACCATGCGGTGTGAGCAGAGGCATGTAGACTGTGAGACCTGATGGCATTGAAGCAAATCCCACCCTCTGCCTTGATGATGGAGAAGGCGGGAAATAAGTTGTCAAGACACTTCACCCTGGTTTGATTTCATAACACCTTGTGAGTCAGATCCAGCATCATATTTCAGTTCCCCTCGGTCCACATACCTGGGGCTCTAAATACACACCAAGTTCGATGTCTCCAGATGATTTTGAGAAAAATAAAATCAAGAATTGGGAAGGTTGGCAAAATACAGAATGCAAAATGATGATGAACACACGAGCAGAGTCTGATCTTCCCATTTTGGAGAATGGAGGTTTCTCTCTGCTGGCTTCCTGCACCCCAGCCAGGTTACACCTCCCGCCCAGAGGCCCAGGCCGCGCCAGGTTAGCGCTTTGCTAAACCGAGAGCCATCCTTTCCTATCAAATGGTCAGAATGCTTTCACATATGTTATGATCATTGATAGGAGAAAAATAGGTATAAATTTGCATATTATTTGGAAGGGAGACAATAATCAAAGGCGAAAATGTCCTCATTATGTAATTATTCAAAATCTGCTAGGTATTCTCAAGAGAGAAAACTCACTGTCAGCACAATTCTAATTTTCAGAGTACTCCCTTCCAATCTAGCAAAACTTAGACTCCCAGTTATTTCCAACATTTTGTTTGCTTTGTCCTTCAGTGTTACCTAAAACAATATGTATCTGTTAAAATCTAAAGTATGTATCCATTCCACACCTGTCTGTTAAAATCTAAAAACAAATGTAAGAGTCAACAAAGTGAACAAATAGTTACTACAATTAGTGGGGTGATCACATTGTAAGGTATAAAAATGCTGAATTACTATATTGTACACCTGGAACTAATATAACAAATATAAGATTGTATCCCAACTGTACTTTAATTATTTTAAGAAAAAAATGATGTAGGGATTAGTTTGCTGCCATTTTTCCATCCATGTGTCTTACAGTAATTTGCACAGTAGAACAGACTGTTTCCACATTTCTGGTTCCATATGAGGATATTTTCTACCTGTTCATGGCTAGTGGTGCATATCAAGCTGTATTATTACCCTGGCAGGCACAATTTAAATAAGAACTAAAATTGATTTTAATGGAAACTAAAGAAAGAAAAATATATGTTTGGAGATTTAATTAATCATGTGTTGTATAGATATTAGAACTCCTGTTTTTCCAGAATCCAAGTGAAGATCGAGTTTAGGGCCCAGAGGAAAGCCCCGCAGACCTCCTTGCAATAACTGGCGTTCTACAGAGTACTGGCTCTTTAAGAGCATCTCTGCAATCTCTTCTGGGCAGTTTTGTACGCAGCCTCCCACACAGTTTGCGCCCACATTTATTGTTCTGTTGTAGTCTTGAGTGTTGGATGCATGTTCCTGCAATGCCTTCTGAATATCCACTGAAAATTAAATCTGTTGTGGAGCATGAAGGACACAGACTATACACTCATTCCTTGAACCTGATAACCCCATTGTCATAATATATAATTCTCATTCAATCAGCACTTCAATCAAGTGGGCTAGCTCATTCCTAACATTATATTATATTATGTCAGATCATACCAACACCCTTAGAACCTGACACCTTAGAGATCGAATTCAACATGTTCATAGGGACCAATGATTTACTTAAATTGCACGTAAATGATTAAGAACGTGCACTCGTAAATGAGACATAGATTAGAAAGCAAACATACAATTTCTTGGTGGTTTCTGGCAAACCACATGGGTCTCTAAGATTATTTCCCAACTGGAAAATGAGAAGAACCCTGGCCGGTTTGGCTGAGTGGTTAGAGCATCGGCCTGCGGTCCAGAGAGACCCGGGTTCGGTTCCCGCTAAGGGCATGTACCTCAGTTACATTGTCCCCGGCCCTGGTTGGGTCGTGCAGGTGGCAACCACTCAATGTGACCCTGTCGCGTCGATGTTTCTCTCTCTCTGTCTTTTCCTCTCTCTCCCTCCCACTCTATCTGAACAAAAAACGAAAAAATGTCCTTTGGTGAGGATAAAAAAAGGAAAAGAAAATGAGGATAAATCTATTAACCTTTGTAATTATCATAAGAAAAAAGAGTCCTATAAAGCACTTAGCATAGTGCTCAGCACATAATTGCAATTTCAAAGAACTAGTCATTATTTTTATAAAAACAACATTATTCGCCGGAGTGGGAACTGAGGTTTCAGTCTCAGAACATCCCGAGAGTTGGGTTTGCCAGCTGCCCTTGGCCTCTCCCTCGAATTCGGGGTCGCAGCTCAGAGGCAGCGGTGCGGCTCCTGCCCCTCAATCCACAGCCACCTCGGGCGCCTGAGGCCACTCGGGAAGCTGTCTGGTCGTCTGGTTTTAGTGTGTTCCAGAAGGTCAGCACAATTTAGGAACAACATGACCCCGGGTTGCATTTTGTGTGCTGGGGCTCCAGTGCGCATGTCGATTGGTTCAGGTAACTCGGAGGAGTGACTCTTCCCCTAAAATCTTCCTATAGGACAGAGACATGTGTCAACCAGCCGAACCCTGGCATGGCTTTCTGATCTGTACCTGGCAAGCTCTGCTGGTTAAGGTTTCTGTCTGATCATGAGCCGATGTTGCCCCAGACAGAAAGGGATCCAACTTGGAAGGTAAGGCTCACAGGTGTGAGTTACCTTTGAACTTCCTGAAGCCCTGCACTTTATCTTTATGGCCCAGTGAGGTCCAAAGTGTCATACTAAACTCTGGAAAATATCGAGGAGTGTTTGCCGCCCTGATTTTCCTCAGAAACTCCTACACGGGCACTGAAGTGTGCTAAAGATCACCTATGTGCACACAGGCACACACACACTCCTGTAACAGGTGACTTGGGGAGATGGCAGAGAAAATGAGCGATGCAAGGTCAGATGCATCTGGGCAGGATGTAGGCTGGTGGTCATGGGCTGGAAGAAGAGGTCACAGAAAGGAAGAAGACAAAAACGAGGTAAAGGAGAAACTGAAAGAGGTTCAAATATCAGTTGATTACTTTTAAACCACTTATCTTAAATACAAGGAAATGCCTGCAGTCCAACTATTAAGTAAAAAAGAAAAACACAAAACACACAGAAGCGGAAAATGATCAGCCCAGGCGGCACAGGGCCCGGCCGCATGGAAAAGCAGCCTCCCGGAGCTGACGAGGTCAGGAAACGGCTGAGGAGCAGGGGCAGGTACCCTGCAGAGCCAGCAGGTGGAGGTCGTGGCTGGTGACCTCCAGGTACCATGATGACACTGCCCTCACTCATGCTAGAATGTTGTGAAAGGGCCTCCAGGGGACCACAGCTGTCCCGTGCCATCCCCCACACACTCGGAAGGCAGCTCCCTTCCTCCCGGCTAACAGGCAGAGACTATGTCTGTGCCCTTACAAGGTGTCCATCTGAGGCTCTCTTGGGTTCCCATAAACACTGAAAGTGACAGGTGACACAGTGCAAATGTGCCTAAAGGAGGCTGTGGAGGCCTGTGCTTTGCTGGTCCCCTCTGGTACTAACTGAGGATGGGACTTGGGAAAGGCACGCCTCGGGTTCTCGTGGAGGGGGAGCCACGTGGTGTGGCGGTGGCTGCAGCGGCCCTGCCCACGGAGCCTGTCTCCCCCAAGGAGCACAGGCTCATCCACTCCCGAGCGTGTGTGGGGACTTACCCAGCTCAGTCTGAAGTTTCTCTGGAAAAAGAACGAGAATAACATATTAAGTAAGCAATTTGTTCTAAGGAAAAGGAGATAAAATATTTCACAAAAATAAAAGCAAGTCCTACACTTTATTGGAAATCTGGATTCATAAAACAGAAGTTAAATGTAGAGAAATTTGATTCTTTCCCACCTGGTGGTTCAGCTGTTTTTCCTTTTCTCTGCACCACAAAAATGCTTTCAGCCCCACCACCCAGAATACAAATCCTTTTTATGAATGCATGGAAAGTATAGAGCGCATGGGATAATCACCTGGAATTCCAAACTGACAGGTAAAACATACCTGTGTGTCTCATTTTAATATTAACATATATCATTTACTTCAATTTTTTCTATACCTATTTATAAGAATAACTATATATTTATATCCTTATATCTAAATATACATGGTGTCCCCAAAACTCAAAAATCTTTACATGATTGGAATTGCCTACTTATAGATAGATTGGTGATACGGAGATGAAATATTCATCATTAAATAGTCAATCATGAAGAATGTTTTCAATCACTATATTTTTTTGAAAATACTATTTTTCATCAATGCTACGATATATAGCAACTAGACACCTAACACTCCACTGTTGTATTGGGGTGTTTGGGTTGTTGTTTTCCTTGCTATTTATCAATGAGGCTATAAGATACTATTGTACAACTAGTTGTCTCCATCTTTGATTATCTTCATATGAAAGGTTTCTAGAAGTAATCGGCATAACGCCACATAAGAAAACATTTCCGTTGAAAGAACATAATTTTTTTTCCTTTACAATGTCATGCATACTTGTGAGTAAAGACAATCTTGAACTTGGAAATAGTTGCAACACCATTAACATTAGCTATTGAATCAAAATAGAATGTATATATTTTCCATTGTAAATGTTTTATAGTTTTCAATACAAATCATTTAATGCTAGGTAATTTTCTTGATTTAAAAAATACTAGGTGATGTGGAACAGTCCCTGGAACCTCTCCTGCTAATCTGAGCACCATGGTCCTAGAGGCGCAGACTGACCTGGGATGGAGATGTCCGAGCCCTTCTCCTCAGAGAGGACAGGGTTGTGGACGAAGCAGAACACAGTCTCTGCTGAGGCGTTTCTGACCACGAGGGTGGCTTCCACATAGAACAAGCCATCTTCGTCTTGGATGTGGTACTCGGAGAAAGTCAACAGCCTCTCTCCCCTGCCGTTTTCCCAGTAAACCTGGGGCTCCGGGAACCAGCCTTCTGCAGTGCACACAAGCTGGATTTCCCCCTCCCCAGACGGCTCCATGTGGATGTGAGGGGCAGACCCCAGACCTGTGGAGGGAGGACACAGCCCTGAGGTCCGGAGCCTGTGTGGGCACAGATCATAGAGGCTGAGATCCCCATGACATTGCTCTAAGGAGAGAGTAGAAGTTCAGGGGCCTGGGGAGCTAAAAGCATTCCTAACTCTTCTTCCTCTTCCAATGCTGTTCCTCTACACTGTATTTGTTCCCCAGTCTGGACCTTTGAATTTAGCACATAAACAGTACTCTTCTTTGGATCCAGACAGGAGAGTAAGAGAAAGGACACATGACATTTGGCTTATGTCTCTGGTACAGTGAACAGAGATGGGCTACAGTTCAGTGGTGGTGCCCTCAGACTGCCTTGTTCACGCATGTCACTGTGTCCAAGGTGGTTCGATGGAGGAAGAACCCATGTGGTGCTGAGATGTGCAGCGGGCGAGTGGGGCACTTACTAAGGCATTTCACTATCAAGGACATTTGAAAATAAGAATATAATTGCATGTCCTTTACAATGTTGTCACTTTGTCTGACATTTTGGATGATATCTTGACTTTAATTTAAACAGACTAATATGAAGTCTGCAGTCACCTCCATGGGGACTATTTCCATTTTTTGTGTTGGTGGCTGTGATCTTGGGACGCTCTGAGTGAGGTGCCTGGTGTGAAATGGGAGTTTTCATATCTAAATATTCCATTCAATGGCAAAGGTTTTTTTTGAAATCCTAGTTTTACATAATGTTGAAATTCTTTACTGAACACAGCTCTCAAGCTCAAACAAGGGAGGCTTCCTTTTTCCTAAATGGAGATTCTGTCTGTGTCACTTGCTGGATGACTGTGACCCACTCCTTCATCTGGAGCCTAGGAAAACGTGTTCTCATGTTCCAATGTCCCCGACAGTGACCTGCCTTAGTATGTTCCCCTCCCTCCACATCTCAGAGCCACATGGGTTCTTTCATCCATCTTCACTGTCTTTGAACACAGCAGCAATAATCATCATAGTTATGAGTGTTAAACAACAAAGAGGTAGGAAACAGCCTCGTGGGGAAGTCGAAAGGAAGCAGTATCAGCCAGGTTTGGCCTCCTCTCCTAAGAACTATTTTCCTGACCAGGTTAATAAATGGATTCGCCTGAGTTTCCCTTCAGCATGTGGAGGAGTTAGTCCTGCCAGGAATCATCTGATAGTTCACTTTTCAGATACTTGTTCTTCCTAAAGGCAGGTCCTTTCCTCAGGGAGGCCCTCCCCCCGCCCCTTCCTGCTTTGCTAGCACACGGCACCCTGCAGACCTGCCACTCACAGTGCGTCTCCGGCTCGCTGAACAGTGTGATCATCTCCGCAGAAACGCAAAGTCCTCAGCCGCTGTAGCTGCTTTCTGACTAGCAGCGTTACCCAGAGAAGCAGTGCTCACCTCTCAGTTACTGCACGTTTGATGCTGGGTGGAGACCACCAACCCACCGAGACAGAGACGCTGAGCAGCCCGCCAGACTCACTCAGTAACGGACCTGCCCATGGACATCAGCCTACGTGGCACAAATTCATGTCTCAGCAAAATCGCTAATGACCACACGTCATGGATCGAAAATAACTGCCGAGTAGTCCAAGCCACGTTGGCTAAATCTGGGAGCCATGCTTGTGCGAGCTTGCTTCAGAGACTTGGAACTACTTGCCCTCAAACAGTCAGGGTGGAGGGTCGGGTTAGGAAGTGCCTTGGTGACTAAAGGGAGTTTTCTTTACTGGCAATAAACTTACACGATAGACTTCTCCCGCCGAGACCCCACGTCTTTCCCCGGATATTCACCTGCCACTTGGAGCAGCAAGCTGGTTTCTCCGCAATAGCTGCCCTCCTGGAAACGGCACCAGTACTGCCCGTCGTCGGACGGTCGGATGCGCCGCAGCTTCAGAGCCGCACGCCCCTCGGCGAGGCCGTCCTCCGCCCACTCCACTCGGCCCCGGTAGTCCTCCGTCTGCACGTCGGGCACCTCCGCTCCATGCTGGTGCGCGGACAGCACGCGCGCGCCGGGCTCCGCGCGGTACCACCTCACCTCCATGTGCACGGCCGCCCTCCTGGGGAGCAGCTGACACGTCAGCAGCGCCTCTTCCCCGACCCGGGCCAGGATGGGGTGAGCAGGACCGATGACTCTAAAGTCATCTGCAAAACAGTGAAGAAGGGGAACAGGACACGTCAGCTGGGAGACCAACGACTTGCTTTGGGTTGCCCGGCCTGTGCAAACGGAGGTGCCTGCAGGAGGCTGGGCTCTAGGTTCAGTGTCTGGAGAAGCCCAGCATGGTGACGGGCACACGTGGCTGTCACGGACACAGTTTCGTGTACTGCAAATAACACAGTTCAGAAATGTGAGTGTCACCGGCTGTGTGATTTAGGGGGCAAATCCATTATTTTCAGTGAGATTTGAGATTTGAAATCTCAATTTCTTCATCTTTAAAATACTGAAACCATCATCTCTAGATTGTTTTTTATTCTCCAACAAAGTAATGTGTAAATCCATTTATAACTGAGAACTTTATTTCTGATTGATTTTCTATTTTGTGGTGATTTATTTTCATAAACATTTAGGTAATCAATTTATTCAATAGATTTTTCAGCTTCTCAGGGTTGCTCCTGTCCTGGGTTAAAACTGAGCCCCCCCTCCCCTTTTCGGTCTGGAGCAGGCAGGACTCAGTTCCTGGGCTATTGTACAAGGCAGTCTTTACAAGGACATTTGTGGTGGGTCAAGGGCAGCGATTTGTCTAGAGAGTTTGAGCCTTCTGTCAAATTTTGAGGCATGTTTGACTTCTTCACTGTTATCTGCAAACTGAGGCGATGTTTAATAATGCTGCTTGTTATCACGCTTAGTCATTTCTTGTGCCAGGTGCAGCCCGAAATGCTCTCAGGCTTTTGTGCAGATCCCAAGTGGTTCAGTGTCACGTAGACGCTACTCAACAGGTCGCCCCGGAACGTGAGTCGGCTTGCGTTCTTCGTCCGTGGAACCGAAGGATGGAGCCGGAACCGGCCGTCCCTCTGCTGACTCCCACAGTGGTCACCAGGAGCGCGGGCAGCCTCCCCGCCCCGCGTGGCTCCGGCAGCACTCCGTCCGCAGCCCAGCCTTCCTTCCCACGCCCACTCCTCACGCTGCTGTTCCTTGGGGCTCGGTTATTACCCACCGACACTGCTCTCATAATCCCTTTTCCAAGTACAATATTTTGATCAACAAAATTCAGCTACTGAGACTTCCAAGTCCATTTACTGGAAGTCTCTCCTGCTGGTTCTTGCTTCCCAGTGCCGTGCTGTTTCACGGGTGGTAACGTGTTTTCTGGCCCACAGTGCTGCACAGGGGCGGGAGGGCGGGTGCTTTGACGTGTTCCAGCACCCGCCGGGGTGCTTCCGTGCACAGCCTCATTTCTCCCAACCCTGTGCTAGCCTGAGACCTAGGTGTGTTGTTATTCTCATCATAAAGCTGAGGGAACCAAGGCAGAAGGTACTTGAGCAACTGTCCAGAGGTAACATGTCTGGAAGTGGAGGGATACTTTGGGAACACAGGTGTTTGGCCCCTGGACCCCAGTCGTAGGCGTGCCCTAGCCCCTTTGAATCGAGGCCTCTGCCCCGGACTGGTCTCTGGGACATTCGGGTCTACAGTGGGGGAGGGCACCCTACCTGACTGCTTCATGGTGAGCAGGACGAAGAAGAAGGAGGCAACGGTGCCAGACAGGCTGTACCCTGGAAAATCCAGCATCCTCCCTGGAGCAAACACAGGAGAAAACACGCTGTACCCACCTGAGGCAGCAGTAACAACGTGTCCACAGCAGGTTCCAAGGTTCCCAAGGGTTATGTAGTCGTAACAAGGAGTCAACATCAACCCCTCCAGGAGCAAACAGTGAAATGGACCTGACTCCATTTCTCAGTTATTGGTCCTTTGCACCCCTTACCTAAGGTTGCCCTTTAGGCTATGCTTAGGCCTGAAGGAAGATTTCCGATCGACATCAAAAGCTTTCCTGGGCTAAAAGGACGATAATATTCACTTTTTCTTAAATCTCCCTGTTCCTTTTATTCTGCCATGCAGAAATGATAGAGCAGGAGCCAGAGACTTCTTCTCGCCATCCTCCAGTCCTTCCGGCAAAGCCCTGCGTCACCAGAGGCTCCCCGGAGGAGAGGAGGAGCGGGAAGCTCTGAGCCCACACCGCAGCCAGGAAGCCCGCATCGGGGCCTCGGGGAAGCCAGGCGGGGGCGCCTGGGAAAGTGAAGAGCAGGGTATTGGAAATGGTGCTGCACACGGAGTGACCAAGGAAACAACCCTAAACAGCCTTTCGTATGGTCTTGAAGACACAGGAATGGAGGAGAGCAGCTGCCCCGCCCGGCAGAGCCTGGCCAGACGAACACACCCACCGCCCAGCCTTACAGAACTGCTGCTTCTCACACAAGGTGCCGGGACAGTGAGCACCTGCTTTCATTCTGAAAACTGAAAACTCTAGACGAAAAGACGTCTCAGACTTACTGTACCTGGTGTGTCAGTGTCTTACTGAAGGACTCTTCACTCCGGTAGGCGAGCCTGCTCAGGGGCAATACTCCAGTGGCTCCGTCTCTTTCCCCAGAACTATGCCGGCAAGATTGCGCAGGGCAGGGAGATGAACCGCCCTGAGCCGCGGACTGCGGACCCCGTGGCTCAGCAGATGAGTTCCACTCTATTTGATTTTTTAAATGATGCGTACTTTCACCAAAATATCTCTAAGGAAATTAATATAAACCCAGTCACAATGCCTGGATTTAAAAGAGCGCGAAAATGTTTATATGAAAATGAGACTGAGCGCTTCGGAACGGAGCAGGCCCTTCCCGTGAGACAGGAGGGAACTCCGATGCCTCCAGGACACCCCGAGATAGGCACACCCGTGCCCAGCACCATCGCTGGGTGTGAACGAAGAAGGACCCGCACTTGCAGAGCCAGTTCCTAGGTCTGTGCTCCCTCAGGCCTTTCGTGGGGAGCAGCGGGCGAACCACACTGCACTCCAGCAAAAACTGTCCAAATCAATGAAGCTTGGAAGAAAGTAGTGAAAATGCATCTTACGCGTCCCTGGTGCTCAGAGAGAGATCTGTGCACACGTATGAGTGGGAGACACTGCTTTGGACCAGGGTTCTCCATGGGGAAGGGGGCAGTTTTTACCTTGGAGGACACTTGGCAATGTCTGGAGACATTCCTGGTTGTCACAGTGGGGAGGGGACATGTAATAGTTGGTGCCTGGGATGCTGCTAAACATCCCACAAAACTCAGGAATCCCCTCCAGCCCAAACTGTCAGCAGTGCCCCAAAACAACACACTGCCGCAGACCTGCCCGTCTGGTCCCTCTGCCTGCCTGGTCCCTCTGCCCGCCGGGTCCCTCTGCCCCCCCCCCATCCCTCTGCCCGCCTGGTCCCTCTGCCCGCCTGGTCCCTCTGCTCCCCTGGTCCCTCTGCCCCCCCCATCCCTCTGCCCCCCTGGTCCCTCTGCCTGCCTGGTCCCTCTGCCCCCCCTCCAGTCCCTCTGCCCACCTGGTCCCTCTGCCCGCCTGGTCCCTCTGCCCGCCTGGTCCCTCTGCCCGCCTGGACCCTCTGCCCGCCTGGTCCCTCTGCCCGCCTAGACCCTCTGCCCGCCTGGTCCCTCTGCCCGCCTGGTCCCTCTGCCCGCCTGGACCCTCTGCCCGCCTGGTCCCTCTGCCCGCCTAGACCCTCTGCCCGCCTAGACCCTCTGCCCGCCTGGTCCCTCTGCCCGCCTGGTCCCTCTGCCCGCCTGGTCCCTCTGCCTGCCTGGTCCCTCTGCTCCCCTGGTCCCTCTGCCCGCCTGGTCCCTCTGCCTGCCTGGTCCCTCTGCCTGCCTGGTCCCTCTGCTCCCCTGGTCCCTCTGCTCCCCCTCCAGTCCCTCTGCCCGCCTGGTCCCTCTGCCCGCCTAGACCCTCTGCCCGCCTGGTCCCTCTGCCCACCTGGTCCCTCTGCCCACCTGGTCCCTCTGCCCGCCTGGACCCTCTGCCCGCCTGGTCCCTCTGCCCGCCTAGACCCTCTGCTCGCCTGGTCCCTCTGCCCGCCTGGTCCCTCTGCCCGCCTAGACCCTCTGCCCGCCTGGTCCCTCTGCCCGACTGGTCCCTCTGCTCGCCTGGTCCCTCTGCCCGACTGGTCCCTCTGCTCGCCTGGTCCCTCTGCCCGCCTAGACCCTCTGCCCGCCTGGTCCCTCTGCCCGCCTGGTCCCTCTGCCCGCCTAGACCCTCTGCCCGCCTGGTCCCTCTGCCCGACTGGTCCCTCTGCCCGCCTAGACCCTCTGCCCACCTGGTCCCTCTGCCCGCCTAGACCCTCTGCTCGCCTGGTCCCTCTGCCCGCCTAGACCCTCTGTCCGCCTGGTCTCTCTGCCCGCCTGGTCCCTCTGCCCGCCTGGTCCCTCTGCCCGCCTGGTCCCTCTGCTCACCTAGACCCTCTGCCCACCTGGTCCCTCTGCCCGCCTGGTCCCTCTGCCCGCCTGGTCCCTCTGCCCGCCTAGACCCTCTGCCCACCTGGTCCCTCTGCCCGCCTGGTCCCTCTGCCCGCCTAGACCCTCTGCCCGCCTGGTCCCTCTGCCCGCCTGGTCCCTCTGCCCGCCTAGACCCTCTGCCCGCCTGGTCCCTCTGCCCGCCTAGACCCTCTGCCCGCCTAGACCCTCTGCCCGCCTGGTCCCTCTGCCCGCCTAGACCCTCTGCCCGCCGGGTCCCTCTGCCCGCTGCATGCTGGACATCTTTCACACACTTTTTGTAAGTAAATACCTAGACTTAAATTGTAACTTTAAATCATAATGTTTCAATTGGAAGCTTTTTGACATCTCTATTGGGCCATTTGGATGTAGGCCAAGAATCTTCCCAAACTGCCATTGATGTTGAATATGGTAAGCTTCATATTGTCAGGAGATGTGATGTAACAGGTATTAGTCACCAAATTCTGAAAAACCCAAGTTTCACTTAATTTTCTGGGTGAAGTATAGGTGTTCAGATGCAGTGATTGGTGGGTGGATGACAATTCCGAATTCCAAGGTCTGTGCTCACAGTATTAAAATCACACCACAGAAAATTACAAATTACCACGTCATGCATCGTTAGAGATTTTTTTGTTGTTGTTAGAAAAGCAAACACACAAAAAACCCCTCAAAACTTAAATTCTCAAAATGCCAAGTAACCACAATATTTAACTTGTGAAAATTAAGTCAGTTCACAAAGTTTAAAGTTTATATATCTTTTTAACTTAAAACATAGCTGCACTTATCCCACGTTAAAAACAGCGCACACTTACAGTGAGAAAGTAAAGCAAATGAGAGCCCTCAGACAGGTCTGTGTTCCCTTCTGTGTCCTGAGAATCTCCTCTCTGCTGGAGACTTTTATTCCTCAGTGTTTCCAGCTGTATCACCATGTGACAGACAAGGCAACTGAGGCTCAGAGACACACACCGGTGTATGACCATGGTAATGTGTTCCCTGTATGCCGAGTGTTGAGCCCCCCACCCCACCTGCTCACAGCAATACTGTGAGACGCAGCAGCCCTTTGAAAACTGAGAAGGGGGCAGGGGTAGAGAGCACAAATGGGGGTGTCAACAGGTGGCAGTCTCCTGGCCGGTGCCCACTGCCCACACCCCTTCTGCGTCATCTTAGTCTCTTCCCCACCTGGCCCTGGTGCCCTGGGCTGGGGCTCTGCAAACCACTCACCTGTCTCCCTCCCTCCTCCGGGGGAAAACCGGGCTACTGGGCTTTCTCCTCAGTGGGGTTCAAGTGCACCCTTGATCCACACAGCAGGTGTTCAAATGTTGGAGCAAGGACAGTGCAGCCAGGTGGGGCAGAGGCGGCCCTGGTCCCCAGGCTTTGGGTGAGGGAGGATGTACCTGCCTCGCCCACACTGAAGGGAGAGCCAATCCCCGGCTCGCTCTGCAGTCAGACTCCAATCAGAATGGCGTGTTCCTCCCACCAGCCGCAGTCCTCTGAAAGGTGAAACGCAGACGCGTGGACTTTGACTGGGTTTAGTTATGAATTCTCTCGACCTGCAGGCTGAATGGTGACAGCACTGCTCACCTTCCCCAGGAGTCAGGGTCCCCCGTTGGGTCCCTGGTGACACAGATCTGACCACCTGGCCAGGCTCTCACAGCGCCTCCTGCAGATGGTCTGCCGTCACCCCTCCCTCCACCTGCAGGTGGCAAGGGTCCCCCACCCAGCGCCAGCTCCCAGAAGACCATTCATAGGGCTTAGAGTTGGAAGTAAGACTGAGTATCAGTTATCCCATCCCTCATTGTACTGCTGGGGAGCAGAGTTGCCTCCTCCGGCATCGCAGCCCCAGGCCAAGGTCCCTGGTGTGCCTGCCAGCGCTCTCTACCTGGGTTCTTATCGCCCTTTGCTGGGAAGTAGAGATTGGTTACCCTCAGATATCGACCAAGGAAATGTAACAGGCTTCTCAACACAGTGTTTGGGCACAAAAATTATAATGACAGAGTGTCTAGTCACGTTTTATGTATGTGGGTTGTTTAGGTTGGATTTTCCCTTAATTTCCTCTTAAGTCGATTTTGCTGGAATCAGAGTGCAAGTAGCCCTGAGGTCTGCAGATGTCTTCTCAAGGATTCAAGAACTCCCAGAACAATTTTAGATGTTCATTTCAATGTGAAATATAAGGATATGTGAGATGATGATGTGATAAGGGTCAAACTGATGTTTTCCCTGAACTGTCTCCCTTTCCTGTTGTGATCAGCCCATATTTGGGTGCCTAACTC